AGATGTTCTCTGAATGCAACGCGTCCCCACTAGATAGTCTCCCCCTCCCAGTCAGCCTCACAGTCCATGCCAGTACCAGGATCGCACTCTCAGAACTGGAGAAAAAGGCTGGCAGGCAGTCACACCAACCATATCTCAGGTGTGTAGGCCTTCCTTCCACTGGACTTCTCTGGTGGAGAGCAGACTCTCCAGCCAGTGAAAGCTCTGCGTAACTGTCTGAGCATCCTTCCATTCTTGTTGCTGAACCATTCCCCCTTTCTGTTTCGACCTTGATGTTCTGTATTCCAGAACTCCTTGTCAGTGACCACCTTCCCTGACCCACACTCTCCTTTTCCTTCCTTGCTATCTGCCTTCTCACCAGTTTTGGTTTCTCTGGCCCCTCACCATACTCACCTAAAGAGGAGGGTGTTGTATTAGAGTAGATTACAGAAAGGCCAAGAGAATGGTAGAACAATGGGAACAATGCCTCTGAAAACATCATGGTAGTAGCATTCACAGTACTTTCTTCAAGCCAGCAGAAGCCTAGTTAGAATGAGAAAGAATCAGCAGAATGAATGGGTTCTTGCTGAGCCCCCAATACAGAAGTGACTATTCAGAATTGAGGTGTCTCACCCCAGTAGAATATCTTTTACTTAAACTTGGGGCAGACCCTCTGTATCTACTAACCTAACAATATCTCTCTTCCTTTCTTTTTTCCTCACTTGTCATTCATAATACAGCATCAATTTTGGTCCACGAGAAGGTGTTGAAAAGAGGCCCTTTAAAGAACAGGCATTGGGGCGCCTGGGTGGCTCAGTCGGTTAAGCGTCCGACTTCAGCTCAGGTCATGATCTCATGGTCTGTAGGTTCGAGTCCTACATCGGGCTCTGTGCTGACAGCTCAGAGCCTGGAGCCTGTTTCAGATTCTGTGTCTCCCTCTCTCTCTGCCCCTCCCCAGCTCGTGCTCTGTCTCTCTCTGTCTCAAAATAAAATGTCTGGTTTTTTTTTTAACATTTATCAAAAACTGGAAAAAAGTATATACGTTCACCACTCCCCCCACACTGTTGAAATTGTAAAGGACACTGGAAACCCCTTTGGTTTCTCCACTTGGGTATAGTTTCTTGGCCTCCAAAACTCAGTTGTCACTTGCTCAGAAGCCCTCCATCAGCGCTATCTGCTGACATTTTATTCATGATACCACTTCTTTCATTAGCATATGTAACTGAGAGCAGACTATACCCTTAACTCTGAATTACATAGCTGCAATATAATCACTTGCTTTATTGATTATCTGAAAAAAAAAATTTTTTATCCTGAGTTGGCTTTCCCATGCAATGCAAATTATTTTTCAGTTGGTGTCATTTATCATCAGCTCCTTTCTACTGAAAAGAACAGTTGATTTTTTTTCTTAAAATGATCACATACTCTGTGCTAAGTGCTTTATATCTTTAGTTTTCAAAATACCTTCACAAGACAGGTGCTTATTGTATTACTCTCAAGTTGCAGATAAGGAAACTGAGGCTTATAGAGGTTAAGTAACATACCCAAGTCACTCAGCCAAGGAAATGGAATTCATATCTGACTCCCACATCTGTATAGCCCAAAATGGACCATTGTAAAGTGAAGGGGCTTATATGAGCTTCTCCCTTATGTTATAATTCTAGTGTCTGCTTTGGACGTTGTGTCACAATGATTGGACTTGCCATTCCTGGCTGTAGTCTCAGTTCTGAAAAGCCATCCACTTCCATTCATCTTAACTCTTCATTTCTCCACACTGAAAGTAACAATTAACAGACCACATCCATTTCATGTATAATGTTGAAAGCCCTTTCGGGATGCCTATATGCAACAGAAAGGAAAATAACAAGGAAGAAAAATATTAGCATTTCTGAGTGATCGTGTTTCAAATCCACACATATATAAATGAAAGTTCTGGACACCTGATTAATCTGAAAATATGCCCAGTTTAGTATGACAGTTCTTGAAATACCTACGCTCTACCAACACAGCACCTTAATAATTATAGAGAGCGCTTTCCTTTAAGGAGCTCCCAAGTGCTTTACAAACATTTTTCCTCATTAACTATCATACCATTTTCTGTGGTAGGGAAGGGAACAGGGTACTTTGTCCTATTTAAAATGTGGGACTGCTGATGCAGTGAGTGATTGAAGCAGGTTGCCCTCGGGTCATGTGCTGACAAGGCCTGGACTAGAGTCCTCAGGGGTTGTGGGTCAGGGTGGGCAGAAGGCCACTAAATCTGCTAAGGGCCATGGCAAGTGCTTGGTCCAGCTCCTCCCTTTCAGAAGGGGAAATCAACCCAGGGAAACTTAGAAAGCCCAGGGTCACACAGATAATTAACAGCTGAACCAATACTAGACGCACACAAACAACATACAGATGTGTGCTATGGAGGGAAAGATAACAACTGTGAAGAATCAATTTATAGTCAGATTAGAAGGTTGTGAAAGCAAAAAGCCTTCATGAGTGACCTTGCCTAGAGGAAAAACACACAGTGTAAGAAGGTGAAAGTTTCAAACAACAAGAGCATTTTAACATAAAGTTTCAACTTCCTAGCAGCCACAATAGCATCTAGAACTTAAGAAGGCAAGCTTCCCATTAAAGGTGACAGGTGGATATGTTGTAAAAGATAGTTGGCCAGCCTATCGTAGCCTCTAGAAAGTGTACTCAAAGCACAAGGATGGCAAAGACCAGCTTGAGTTCAACCATGTTTACAGCTGACAGAAATGTTCCAACTAAAAATAACATGCACGGCTGTCTCTCTTTGGGAATCTCTCATTTCAAAAGAATGTACCTACATAAACACCATGCACAGACTGAACTCTTTTTTAGGAATGAGGCTTCCCTAACGTCCCCCATTTGTCCAGAAGTGAACTTCTTCTCTTCTAACCCTGTGACCCTATGGACCTATCTTGTCCCATCAGTGAGAATGTAGGGAAAGAAATCAGAGAAGAGTCAAGAGGAGAGGGAGCTAGGCCAAGACATTTGTGGATAACTAAGGAAAAAAGTGTTCAAAGACCAATGACATTGTTAAGAAATTTGTGGAGTGATTCCTGAGCGAAACAGCCATTTCTCACTTATCCTGTGCTTCAAAAGATATCCTTTTACATTTAAAAAGCACAGTGAGAAAAGGTTTCTGATGAGATCATGTTTTGTAAAACAGATCATGAACATAAAGCACTAACACTGAGCCTGACATATTAAGCACTCAATACATGGTGATTGTTTCCATTGCCATTATTACTGTGACACCCCAAACCTCCTCTGTTTCATAACGGAAAAAACAGAAACACAGTCAAGGCACATATTTTAATTGGAAGTTAACTCAATTTTAAGAAATAGATTTTCTACCCTGATATATAATCCAGATGTTGAACAATTACCCTAGAGAATTTCAAAGGCTTGGGGCCTTGGGCTGGGTTATGGAAGAGTACATAGAAGGACTTTTTTTCTCTGAGGTGGGTGCCTCCATTAGGCAATCCGTAATGAGGTGGGGCAGACAGAAACTCCCTAATGCATTTCATCTCACCTGTCAAGAGCAGAGCTGAGAGCAAACAGCACCAACAAAAACAAAGTTCTGTTTATCCAAAGAGATGTCACAGGCCCACGGACGTTACTTATTACATTTAGTAGTATTATTATTACATTTAGTAACAGTATTTTTACTTACCTTAATTTTTTTAACAAGATTGAACATTCCGTTTCTAAGCTGAGAGCACACCAAAGCAGCAAATAGGAGAAGAAGGGTTTCAGCCAACAGGCTGAGAACAAAGAAAGAGAAAACTATTTTTTTAATTGACCCAAGAGTTCAAAAATGCGTATGGAACCATTTAATTGGGGGTCGGGGAAGAGGATAGGCTTGCAATAAGAATACCATGCAAGTATTCCCATACCACCCTTGGTGGTCTGCAAAGTGATTTCATATGTATTTATGTCAACACCAGCACACTGAGGTAAGTAGGACTGTATACCTTAGAGGCATTTGGAGATTCGTCTAAGTGCCGTGCTGAGTGCTGGTGCCCAGATTTGAACAGGACCATTTGACTCTGAGATCATTGTGTTGTCCACCACCTACTCAACCTCCACACCAGACAAAGCCAGACTTCAGCTCAGTGCAGTCAAGATGGAATAGCCAGTTAACTCTAACGTGACAGTTCAGGAAGATCTGTGTGTAAAATAAATCAAATTTAAAGTGTAGCTTTGCAGGGCGCCTGGGTGGCTCCATCGGTTAAGCATCCTGACTGCGGCTCAGGTCATGATCTCATGGTTTGTAATTTCGAGCCCCGTGTCAGGCTCTATGCTGGCAGCTCAGAGCCTGGAGCCTGTTTCAGATTCTGTGTCTCCCTCTCTCTCTGACCCTCCCCTGCTCACACTCTCTTTCTCTCTCTCTCAAAAATAAATTAAAAAAAAAAAAATTTAAATAGAAAAAAAAAATAAAGTGTAGCTTTTCAGAATGACTTGCTCCTGTGTTGGCCAATACTCTCCAGACCTGTCAAGGCAAAGGTGCATTCACTAGACAGAATACTGGAAACGGAGACTGTCCCCAAAGAGACAAGCTATGTGGCCACTGTCCTTGGTTTCTAAAGATTTTAGAGAACTCTGTGTCTTCAAAGATCTTTCTTCTCTCTTATTTCTTGCGTGTGTTTGATAAAATTAATGGGAAACACGCAGTTAAATCCTCTCCTGATGACTGAAAACACCCCCCCTAAAAGTCACCCTCCCTTTTCACCACAGAGTGACCTTTGAAAGCCTTTAGTGGGGAATATCTTGTAGCTTTCCAAGAGAGCCATTTTCTGGCATGGGGACGTGGAAAACTAGACGGTCCTGGCACCACCTTAAAGCAAGGTTTCTCAGAACATGAGACGCCAGGAAGGCCTGGATCTTTCCAGTGGGGGCTGAACCAGTCATATTTGTTTTTTAATCGTTTTTTGTTTTCTGTTGTCTTGTTCTTCCATGTCTCATTCTCCCTCCCTTGCTGTGACTGTCTCTTCCCACATTGACAGGTGAGAAGCCCCACCAATGCAGCATCTGTTGGCGCTCCTTCTCCTTAAAGGATTACCTTATCAAGCACATGGTGACACACACAGGAGTGAGGGCATACCAGTGCAGTATCTGCAACAAGCGCTTCACCCAGAAGAGCTCTCTCAATGTGCACATGCGTCTCCACCGGGGGGAGAAGTCCTACGAGTGCTACATCTGCAAAAAGAAGTTCTCCCACAAGACCCTCCTGGAGCGACACGTGGCCCTGCACAGTGCCAGCAACGGGACCCCTCCTGCCGGAACACCCCCAGGTGCCCGCGCCGGCCCCCCAGGGGTGGTGGCCTGCACCGAGGGGACCACTTACGTCTGCTCCGTCTGTCCAGCAAAGTTTGACCAAATTGAGCAGTTCAACGACCACATGAGGATGCACGTGTCTGACGGATAAGTAGTTATCTTTCTCTCTTTCTTATGAACAAAACAAAACAAAAAAGAAACAAACAAACAAAAAAAGCTATGGCACTAGAATTTAAGAAATGTTTTGGTTTCGTTTTTACTTTCTGTTTTTGTTTTTTGTTTCGTTTCATTTTGTACTACATGAAGAACTGTTTTTTGCCTGCTGGTACATTACATTTCCGGAGGCTCGGGTGAATGATAGTTTTCCCGGCCTCCCTCGGATGGTGGCCTTAAGGCCTGGTAGTGCTTCAAGAGGTCCACTGGTTGGATCTCTAGCTACTGGCCTCTAAATACAACCCTTCTTTACAAAAAAATCTTTAAAAAAAAAAAAAGTAAAAAAAAAATTTTTTTTTTCACTTGTGAAGAGCACTACAAAAAATCTATAACAAAATCTAAAAGGCCTACTGTCTTTAAGTACACCGCTTGCAGTGTTTCAGTGGACATTTTCACAATTCTGGCCGCTCGGACTTCACAGTAACCAGTTAAAACTGTGGAATATCGCTTCTGGTTGAAAACCCAGACGAAAGGCCCTGCTGTTTTCCACCTACCATGTTGTCTGATTTCATAAAAGGGCTGGGGGGGTGGGAACGGGCAGTGGGTCGGGTGGTGTGGGAAAGGCGGATGGCAGGCTTCTCCCCCAGATTCTGCTGAGTCCGCACACCCTGGCCCACCTCCTCCATAGCCCCCCTTTCAGCAGAAGCCAGGAAGACTTGGACAAGCATCAAGCAACAGTGGCTATCGTATTTATTCAGTGTCTTCGCTGAGCCACAGCCTCAGCACAATCAAGAGGGACTTTCATGAAAGGCAGGAATGCAGATAAAACAAAGATATCAGAGGTTTGCACCTATGTTTCTAGGTACAAGAGAAGGATTATTTCCAACAATCTTTGCAAAAAAAAAAAACAAAAAAAAAGTGTCAGGATATATTCTTGTGGAAGAGAAAAAGAAAGAGAAATGGAGGGTGGGGGGAATAATAAAAAGTTCTTGAGGCTTTTTTAATTCAAAATTTTATAGAGGGGCAAAAGTGACGTTTACCAGATAGAATGCTGATTTTTTTAATATATTTACGACAGTATTTGTGTAAAAAAAAAACAAAAAAAAGTGAGATTGTTAAAAGTAATTTTTTTTTTCATTTTGGTTTTGCATACACTGCCACCGATCCCTTCTCTTTTATTTTATTTCACACACGTATATATATTTTTTGGTAAGTCAAGACTGTTAAGGTTAGCGCTACTGCTTCCAGATAGAAAGAATAAAAGGCAATTAAAGTTATATTTGAAAGAGAGGAAGGATATTTTCTTCATATTTTTTTTTAATTTTTCTTAATTTTTATTATTTTAAGTATTGCCTGGGTTGCTGAGGGCCTTCGTGGCCAGCCCATCCCTGCTGTAATTTGAACCTGCTGCTTTGTATTTTGATACGTAGTTCTTTGACTTTTAGCAAAGCGTAAGTTGCTCCACTGAATATTTTTTTCACCTGATCCATCTAGAATTCTGTTCTTTTTCATGGGAGGACTTTATCTTTCAGAAACAGATTCCTTGCTTCTCTATAAGTTCATTGAGATCTTATGATTCTAGAATTTCTATGGACTTTACTTCTTTTCTTTAAGGAAACGCTAGTAGTCTAGAAGCCGTGACAAATGGGTTTTCCTTTTGTGGTCAGCCAAGAGGAGGAGTTCAGGCCTCCTCACCCTTCACAACTACAGAGAGCAGCGTTATCAGAAGCCTGGTACAGATTAGGATGCCTTGATGCCAAAATTGCTTTCTTCCTTTCACATATCACCTTTTGACTATTTCCACCATAGTTGAGAGGGCTAAATAAGATGACCATCCTTTAGATGATTTATTAACCTTTGGTTTGGGGAAAGATTTAAAGAAATTAATAAGAATTTCTCAGATGCCAACATCCATCATTCAAAAGGCCACTAGTCCATTGCATCATCCTAGATGCCGCTCTCTCTTCCTAGTTGGGATTTCTCTCCTCGGTCCTGATCAAAGTATTATAATAGGGATTTTTCCATTATAGACAGTGTCCTGAAGGGTTTCCATCTCAAATAGAAGAATTCTTAAACGTAACAAATTTTCCAAAGGTGATTTTATTGCTGGGCATATTTTAACGCTCTTCAGGGGGAAAGTACATCTTTAAACAAAGCAGAAACACCGAACTGTAATTTTAAAAAAGAAGCAAAGACAGTATTTTAGTTTCAAAATTACTTTGCATTTTAATTTTCCTGTCAGCAACTTACTTGCAAAAACTGTGCAACAAATGAGGAGAAATCTTCCAAGGGAAGCAACTCTGTAATGACGAAATTGGTTTTACCCATATATTTTAGATACTGGTTAACTCAGATCTTTTCCATAAGTTCTTGGTGATTTTTAGTAGGATTAGTGCAACTGGGGTATTTGTGGGTTTGATTTGGTCCTATGGTCCTTTATTTGGTAAATATTTTGCTAGAAGTTTAATGTAGACTTGGATGGTTAACTGACTATTGAAGTGTCGCTCATTGTGATTTCTAAGAGGAGTCCTAGCAAGAGCTATGTGTCCAAAATTGACCTGTTTTAAAAGTTAGTGGGAAACAGCTCTAGAAATAAGAAAAAGCCTGTTTTTCTCTGCTAATTTTCCTTTTTAAAAGAGCAGTGTTGTTAAAACTCTAATATACTTCCACTTTCTACCAACAGAGGGAGCATTAGTTAATTAACCAAGTCATGAAATTGTTTTGATATCTTGAAAACAACTCATTCAACCCATGGTACAAAAAAGGAAAAAAATGGCATTAAGAAAAGTGTTGTTTAATCTGGATGAAAAATGACATGAAATCGTTCAGCATGTGCTACAAATGAAGAAGCCAAATGCCACTTTAAAAAAATTTTCGGTTATTTGACAGTAGCTGATTTAAGTAAGATAGTGTACTAATTCCAACCTTAGCAACGTAGGCAGAATTTACAATACTTCTAGAAAAGTTGATCTTGGGTGCCATAGTGGGCCACACTTAGCTATCTGCTTCTTAAATCAGAAGGAGAGCCATTTGCCTGAATGCTAATTTGCCACATGAAAAGCTAACCAATTGGGTTAAAATAAAATCCACATTTTGCTATAGAACATGTAGAGGGAAGAACTTCCAGTTGGGTTTGAAACACTAATATTCCTTCTTTCCCTTCAAATGAAGTATCTCTTTTTAAAAAATATTGGAGAACTCCCTGATAATTCTTGGTGAGGTGATACAGTCATCATAACCACACGGCTATCCAGGTTCGCAGAACAGTCAACTTTTTCTTTCTTTATGTCTATTCCTCCCAAACACTCATAGTCTAAAATAGTTGACAGATTTGTTCTCTAGAGAGAGGAAGAAGCTAGACTGCAGTGGAAGATCTAAACTGGGGGGCCGTGAACTTGCTATGGGGTCATTACTGTATGTTCTGATTTCTTGAAAGGGCTACCTTCCAAACTGATATAAACTAGACTGTACCTATTTCAAAAGGATAGAGATGCTTTTAGATTGGCAATCCTTGCTTTTAAATTAAATAATTCCCAATGTCTTAAGAAATGGGGAAACATATTTTGCTTCAAGAATAGAGGATAAGTATGAATCCTTTATTTTTTAGTTTCAAATCCAACAATCTTCTTACATTTAGAACTTCATGCTAGGATGCTATGAGTGCTAAAAAAATTTTTTTTTCAGTAGTCAGGGGAAAAAATAGATAAAATGGAAGCAAATGTTCCAGATTTAAGACCTCTTAGGATGAATACAGGGAACAAGAACTTGTTTGGAAAAGAACATTTTTTTTTTAGTAATTTATGATTTAAAACTGGGTTAGCTGAACAAGGGAAAGGAAAAAAGTCAAAGGGGAATATTTATCTCATGACATTTAGATACAGTTATGAAAACTAAAACTTCCCAGCACTGAAAACATTGGTAGCATCTCAGCATAGTGGGCAACTTTTCCCCTATTACTATAATAAATGCCAATATTTGTTCCAAAAAAAACCAACCCCAAATGTGTAAAATATAGCCCCCAAAAAGGAAAGAATTGGAACAGATGGATCTGATACATATCTACACATGGGAAAAGATTAAGAAACAAGCAAGGCAAAAATAATTTGAAATGAAAGTGTCTGTATCAAAATGGCTTTTACTATATATTTTAATTGAGTTGTAAACTTTAGCTCCTAATAATAGTTTCATAGGCTTTTTCCTGCCCAGATTCCTAATGCTCTAAAACTGTTTGTGCCATGAGTAAGTGTGGTGGATAATTTCCATCTTCTGTTCCAGCTTTAGTCTGTTCCTTCTTCCGAGGCATCTTGGAGCCCACAATAGCTCCCAGCCTTAGAGGAAAGACTTGGATTTGCTTTGTTGAAAAGTTATAGGTTTTACTTACCATCCCAATATTCGATAAGGACCAATAAAACCCTTTGGAACCCATGAATAGTTAGAACTTGTACATTCTAACATGAGAAGAGAAAAGGTTTCCTCTGGGTACGTGAGCTTCAAGTAAGTCCATTATAATGCCTTGACCTACTTGTACATCCACCGTACAAGCACACCAAGAGTATGTGCCCAGCCCGCACCCCAAATCGGTTTTCCCTCAGCAGTTGAAAATGAGGTGTGCCCCTTATAAAATCCCTCAGGTCCCTGACAGAACATAATAAAGGTTCATGTACCTTCCTAGATGTGCTTCCTCCATAATGTTCCCCAACACCTGTTGCCTTTAGGAAAGGGAGCAGTGAGCTAGATCTGGCCAGGATTCATACTCGACAGGCCCATACAGGAGCCTTCCTCTGTTGTTACAGAAGATGTCATTTAATCAGCGGAGGCTGGGAGCAGAGGGTTTGAGATTCTGCAGCAAAAGTATCAGATAACCAAATCAGGTCTGCCTCTGCAGTGCAAAAAAGAAACAGGACGAAGGTACAATGTAAGAGCAGACACAACCTGAGATGCCCTTGGGATTTTGGAGAAGGGAGGGTGCCCTTTCTGTTGTGACCTGACTCTTAAAAGAAATCTCCTGAAAGAATTCTTTAATTTAGTCATGAGTTGAAGTCCAGGGTAATGGAAG